TGTATAGTGATCCTGGTTGAAAACAGAAAACTGCTGTACGTACTGTACATGATTTTAGACCAACAATCTTCTCCTGCAGAAATATTAATGCGTATAGTAGGTCAAAAGTGTACAAGGATATAAACCTATAAAATAAATGTTCCTGGAAAATATTCAGCCTTTATGACCACAGAAATGTCCAGTCTCTGAAATAATATACATTGTACCATCCCTGCCTTCCAGTAAACCCTTTAGCTCATCTGCTTTCTGTGGGAGTTATTTATAGCATCTTAATCTTGGTTCTGAAAAGTCTTCCCCTTGTTTTAAGTTTCTTAGCAGATCAATAACACCCAGCCTGCTCATTGGAATATGTGCAAATCCTACTATCATGCTGTCTCCATGTGAAAATCCTTTCAATATGAAAGCACGTGCAACATTCAAGTGCAGAATACAAGTCATTATTAGGGCAAGAAGAGTAGTTTCAGTTGTATGCTGTATAAACTTTTGTATTTTTTATTGGGCATGCACATAATAAACTTTATTATAAATAAAGTCTAATAAATGTACACTTCTTAACTATTGTTCTTCTTGTATGAGCAACTGGCACGCATTTTAAAAATACAGTAATGGAAGGTAGAAAATAACAGCAAAAGAATCAAGCACTTTTGTGTCCCTAAGTGGTCCCAGTTTTATATTGTGAAGAAATGTTTTCAAATTGCCCTTGTTATTAAAATGAAGCCCTTTTGGTAGCTATTCATTTAGCTTTGATGTGCTTAGAAATGCCAGGAATTCAATTAAATTGCTGGCATATGATTATATGCTATTAACACTTTTTGTACTACCAGCACTTAAAAAATGAAAATATTAATTACAGACTTTACATCAAAGAATTTGTTAGATCCAATGAAATATATTAAGTATTAATATTAGAAATGGAGTACAAGGTGTGTAAGTGTTTCAAATTTTATATTGGGAAAAGGTGTTTTTGAAATGAAATGCCATAGTAAAAATTGAAATATACAAAATCATAATCACCTTTAAGTTAAAAATGGTGTATTGGTATTTCATGGGAATACAAGTTTTAAGCATAAAGATTTTCAATGCCATATTATTGGAAAATAAATGCTGCTAGGTTACTAGGGTTCTAGGCTACTAAAATACTTGTACATGTATGATTCTTATTACAGTAACTGTTGGCATATTTGTTAACATTTTCACTTAAAGAAATTAGAGGACATTGAAATTCAAATACAAGATCATATATAATAAATTATATAAATGTGATACAGTATATACAAAAGCAATATAATATGTAATATTCCACTTATTGATTACACTGATCTACAGTAATTCTATTACAGGGGGCACTGTATCACTGTTTTGCTCAGTGTAAAGTCTGTCAACATCTACGGTGCTTCATATAAGTCATAATATTTGATAGATTTGTAACAGTTTTTTTATTGAAATCTGTTGTTTGAATTAAAAGGGACAAGCGGTTAAATGTTTTCTTTTATAATAAATTTTTCTATTTAAGCTACTGTATGCAACATGCTTTGGCTTAGATGTTTTTAGCGGTGCTGCAGAACAAAATGCCTACCAGATGTTATATATTAGAGATGATACAGTAGATTTCCAGAATTACATATTGCAACAAATCATTTTATAAGTACTTACTATGTAATATTTTGTCTACAGCTGAATAGGTCACCCAATAAACCAAAATATTTTGCTGTCTGTGTGTGGATTCTCACTTAAACAACCACTTTCATACACAGGCCACATGGTGCTCTTCCTGATCCCTTCTTAGGGAGGAAAGTATAATTATATAAACAGCTTTCAGGGATAGGGATTAGAGGCTGCTGTAAGAGATGCTGTCTGTGGCTGGCAGATTTCCTTCATGAGCTGCAGAATCAGTTCTGGAATTTAACCAAGAAGAGGGAGTTGGCTTATGTCCTCTATAGGTTGTTTATGCAAATGCTTTTACACAAGTGCTTCCACATGAAAGGTGCTGATTGAAAAGTAAAGCCAATTAACAGGCTTTCCATTTTTTTAAATCTCACTTAAGTCACGGTGGCTAACAAGCATCATTGTTTGTGAAGTTTGCCATTTTATGACATCAGTGGTGGTAACCATTGCACAATTTGATTTTTGTCTCTCACATTAGGAATTTCCTTCCCATTTATTCATATATTTTTTGCCCAGAGATATGTTCTTATCATATATTGGATGTTATATATTGTATAATCATATATTTGATTTAACCTTCTGCAATAACCTTGCTTCTATGACACAATACTTTGTGGTTCACCCAATATCTTTCTGGGCATCTTTATCTTAATTGCTTTGTTTAGTTAAATAAACACATTAAGTTGTAATTGAGCAAATCTGTGGTGCAATACTTAGATACATAGTGAATTTGACGTCAGCATGCAGGCTTCTTAATTTTTTTGTGAAGAGGTAGGCAAGATGGTTTATTTCCTAACATAGCTCTTAAAGAGTGTATCGTCCATATTGCCATTTAACATATCTGCATCAAAATACAATAAAAAACTTACCATTTCTATAGTAACATTTTCATCTTGGTCTCTTAGTCCTAGATGGAGAAATTCATCTCAAAGTTTTAGTAACTCTGGCTTTCCATAAATAATAAATGGATCAAGCAAATTCCCATCTGTGTAGATGACTAAGCAGTCTGTGCGTCCCTGGGCAGGTTTTACACTGTCGCACATGCAATTGAGAAAATTATTTTTTTCAAGTGGACAGTAGATAAGAGTATCTATTCCGGCACCTGTCCAAATTGATCTTTGGTCCTGATGTCTTTTTTTGGATAAATAGTAATGGGTTCTTGGTTGAAATCTGTTTTTAATGGGCACAATACCGACTTGTAACTGGACTTATCATAACAATAAAACAATGTGAATTGTGGATTTTTGCAAACTTGCTGAAAACCCATTTGATTCAATGATTTTATAGAAAATATGTCATCTAAAACCACTGCGCAAAAATTGTTCCTGCATTACCTTGTCAGGCAAGAGCATTCTCTTTCTAAAATTTAATATAGCTTGTAGTACGAGCATTTGTATTAGCCTTTATTTTAAAATCTAGTTTATAATCTATCCATGTTTTGTACAATGTACCGTATAAACACTTTTAATTATACTATGGACCTGTGTAAGTATAATGACAAAGTTGAATTGAATGTACAATAGATCAAGGATACTGAACTTGCAAGGATTTTGAGTTTAAGATTTAGAATATTCCTGTTGGAAATGTTTTATTTTCTAAAACCCCCTCCCCCGGTAGGATATACAGTTTCAGAAACACTTGTATGAAATGTCAACGCAGGCTTGTGGTCAGTAACTATACATTGTGCTGTTTAATATGTAAACACATGTGTTCATTGTTAACTAAGCATTAAGGAGCTGTACTTTTCATGCAAATAAAAGTAGCTGAAAGTGTCTAGTATGTAGCTGAAAGTAGGTACAGCATTGTTTCTGCTGTATTTCAATTTGGTGGAGTGGAAGAAACCATAGCTCTTGATAAAGACAAATGTATAGGAGCATTTGTATTTTCAAATAAAAATAACCTTAACATAAAGCACTTATTGCATTTTAGAATACTTTTATCACTGGATAGTTGGTCCAATGGCACATCTAGCAACTGCCATTTTAGATTGAAGGAAAGGAAAACATTTTTTTGCTTAAGTTTTGGCAATAGATCCATTCCTACACTCTTGGCCCTAGCCTGATTTGAGTTGTGCTACTATTTACTGGGACTGATTGCATTGCACCAGTGGCTTATCCCCTTGCTTAGTTTACATGAAGCTGTAAGTGGTTGCACTGATTTCAGGTTGTTCAACTGCTGTGTACATTTATCCCTGCCCTCAGTGTCGGGTTTTTACTTACAATCTGTCTTCTTGTTATTCATGAGATTAAACCCTTAGCATGCATGTATACACATATAGCTGTGTATATTATATACAATATATTAAAGTATGTTTAAGAAACTTTGTCTTAACTTGTCTTCTACTTTAAAAGAGTAGAAGGTATGTTAGATATTTTATTATAAATCCAAATATCCAGAACCACCCACTAAATGTAATTTTGTAAGTGTGCTGTTAGGATATCTTTGTAAAAAAAAGATAGTTTTGTTCCTTTTGAGGTTTATCTGTGCTCATATTTCCAAATTTTATTCCTTAGCAACTTTTAGACTAACAACTGTTAATCAACAGCGGAAATGGATAATTGAGACTTGCTTTCTTTTCAATCACTGATTTGTGATGGGACAAGTGAAGTTGCCACCTGGTATCTAATTACATGAAACATCAAAGCCTTCAGTTACTTTGATTGTAATCAACATGTAGAGTGAGAGATACTGTAGCACTTCTTAAAATTGATTTATTTCTTTATTTTCTAGAATCTGAAAATTATTCTTGATGGTCATATTTGTAAAAATCCTATGAAATTACTTCAAATATTTATTTTAACTACAGAACTTTTTCTGAGATCTAAAGTGTTGATGCAACCAGTAATTAGTTGTATTGCAAAATAATTAAAAAACGTTTAAAATAATCAACATGTTTGCTTTTAATTTAGCACACCAAAATACATATGAACAATGAAATGCATAATAATTGTACAATTAAGTCAGATCTTTATGGTGGTTAAAATCAAGTGATGCTTCCATCTCCTGTAAATTTAGAGAAATAAAATCTCTAAGCATAGAGCAATGCTTCATTACTTTATGTTTTAAGGTCTGTTATTCACTTGACATGTCATTTGAGGAAAAAGACCTCCCACATAGTTTACCTGACCCCAGTGACTGAATTGTCCACTGTAACCCAGGGATAACCCAGAGCAGGGATATTTTCTACAAACTCCACAGGGGCTTTCAGCTATGGTGGCAGTTAGGTTTCTAAGTAATTAACCTTAGAAGGTTCAGAAACATTTCGTGGGGTGGCAGCACTGCCAGAGGTTGATAAACAGGATAGGAGAATAGTAGGAGGGAGATACAGTAGATGTTCCCCAGGTATGCGGCTCTGTTGTCTGCTTAAAGAAGGTTGAGGCTGTCCTGAAATTAAGAAGAGTACTGCTGAGTGATTCTCTCCCTGAGGAGGCACGGAGACTGAGAGAGACTGAGAGAGCGAGGAGGGAGAAGGTTGTTTATTTATAAGCTGTGGGTTGTTCATTTTTTTGCTTACCACTGCATTAGAGAGAGGGAGAGAGAGGATGGAGAAAGCGAGCCAAACATTTTCCCAAGACTTTATTGCCCTTTACTACTACTTTTGGTGTCTGACTTAGGAAGAGCTTGGAACAAAAATACCTCTTCTTAAGGAATTTAATTTTTTGCTGTTGTTGTTTGCACTTGAGGAGGAAAAGAGATTGAGAGGAGCTGAGGAGAGACTGTCACTTTAAAAAAAGGGAGATTAACTCAATATTGCACGAAAGCAGGAGAATTACTTGGGATTTTTAAGACTGGATGCTTAGCTGCTGCCTTTTTTCGTCTGGAAAGCTATTATCTGGAGCGCACTCCCAAGTTCAGCATCTCTGGCTGCAGTGCAGTTTCAGAGCTGTTCATTTGAAGGCAGTGAAAGCGAGAGGGAGAAAAGACAGGGAGACAGGAGACTAGCTATCATCTGTGGCCTCCTTTGATTTCAACAGGAAAGAATAACATCTTTTTTCCTGTTTCGTTTCCCTGCTGGGTGACGTGCTGCCGTGGGATCTGGTAAGTCCTTGATTGATTGATGCCCTTTTATTGTTTTGGACTATTGTTTAGTTTTTATCTCCATGCTTCTCAACATTGGTGTCCTGTATCATTCAATAGAAAGCTAGATGTGGATATGTCAGACTGTGTACACAGTCTTTTCTAGTCACCCAGGCATGCACACATATACAGCACCTACACAATCAGCTTTCACCATCTGTAAAGCTAACTTAATCTGATTATGACATACAGTTTATCCATCATATTATCATTACAGCAAGGTTTGCACTAAGGATGAAGTGTGTAAATATGGACTGGTTGATTGTCTTCAGCTTCATTACTAACAGTCTTTGTGTGTAGTAATAAGAATGTTTTTGTTTTCCATTTAAGCAAGGATGACTAAACATTTTTCACTACAGTGCAATCATTAATAATAATGGCTAATCACTAAGGGAAATCATTCAATGTCTTCGTAGTCCTTTTGTTCTGGTTATATGAAATAATTTTCATAAACACATTCTGCTGGTATATAGTGAAGTTGATTTATTATGTTTGAAAATATATACAGTGTTATGCACTTAAAGAAAATTAAGGGTAGGATATCATATTATATTTGGAAGGGAAGAATAGTAAAGTTGAAAAACAAATAAGAGACTTGGAGCTCCTGTTGTCTGTTGGAAATATTTTGTTGTTAGTAACATTATAGATGCAGGCAGGAGAAACGAAATCATTGAAAGAAAATCTGTTGTACTTTAATTTTAGCTTTTGGCCCATTAGTCAGTATTTTAGTGAGAAATACAGCAGAAGACACTTTGGGCAGCAAAGAGCCCATTTGTGTTCAACTTTTGTTTTACATTTCTGGCTTTCTTGTTTAATGTGTAATACCAATATAATATACATATACTGTATATTCTCAATATCTCTGCTGGAGCAAGATTTAATATTTAAGTTATCAGTTTTATAAAAAAGTACAGTATATACTGTAGCCTCTTTCAGGAACTGCCATATGTTGGCACTGTTTGTCCATTTCAGATCAAGATTTGGAAAAATCCTTTGTAGAATATAACAATGACTTTTGTGAAAACATTATAACAGCTTCTTCTATGAGTCTTTTAAGAGTCTAATAGTTACATTGTCAAAAGAGAATCTGTGGGTTTTTATTATTTAATAGAGCTTATCTTGAAGAGTATCCAAAACTGCAAATATCAGCCAGAGAGAAAATACTGTTAAATTTGAAAGAGGCTGTGTTTTGTGTTGATATATGTAAGAACACTGGACTTTTCTACATAGCACTTCTGTGACTGGAAGGTGGATTGCTGTCTGTAGTGAGAAAAGATAGGTTTAAAAATGACAGCATTTGTGATGCAAGTGTCACATACTTTTATGGAAGATTTTTCAGGTCTCTAAAGAATAACTATATGCTGTGAGGGATAACCGAGTCAGTACATTCATTTTTCACAGTGGCTTATTTTGACTCCACTTCAAAATCCAGGGCTGTTAAAGCCACTTAGATATTTTCTTTGTCCTTGTAATTGACACTGAAGTATTGCTATAGATTATATTTTTCAGGTGTTTGCAGCACCTGAAGCTGCTTTTTCTGCTGTTCAGCTTTTTTTTTTTAAATTGTTGTACGAAATAAATCTACCATACTCAAACATTCTGGCTGTACAGGGTTAGGAAGTTTTGCGATCATTACTTGCACTTTTGTCAAATGCTTTTTTTTCCAAAGGATCTCAAAGTCGTTCTCAGTACACAACAGATGAGGTTCGTAAATCAAAGATTGCCTCACCAATTGAATTCAAGGGTAAATTTAAGGATTCTACAAACCCAAAGTGGAATTTAGCCAGGATACTGGGTTCATCTGGGCTAAATAGTGTCATGGGATCCTTAATGACCAAGCATCTAGGTCTAACATCTCATCCAAAAGATGGCACTACATACAGCATGGTGTCCTCATTAACCCAGTAATGGTTAATTATAAATGCAAATTAAACATGGTCATTTATATTTATTGCACAATATTAATTGATTATTTGCTATTTTTCCATTTTCCATTAATGTATATCATCATGGTACTGGAATGTATTTTAGTATATATTCCCTCACATTATGTCACAGTATGTGGTTAATTGAGTATATAGTGCAGTATCGGATGTTTTGTAAATTGATTGCATTTTATTTTAAGGTCATATTAAACTTAATATAGTCATATTAAGCAGTGTAGGCTGCTATTCATTAATTATGGAATAGACTGTTCTGTGTCATGATGTTACACCATTTTTCACATTTCTTCCTGTTTGGCGCAAATAAAAATTGTGATGTTGCGATATCTTTGTTGATAAGTGTTTGGTTAACAATAATGTAAATATGAGCAGCTGGAGCTAAGTATATATTAAAATTCCAGTCTATTCTATGTGATGTTCTAAGTGAAAAAGGTGACAAAGTAGTGATAGTTTCAAAATGGAGAATCTGTAGCAAGTTTCAGGCTGACCAATGTTAGTAGTTTATCATGTTGTCTTAAACAGGGCACACCGCTTTATACTGGGATGGTCACTTAACAGCTTACACATATACTTAAAATAACACTCTTGCATAAAACATCTGTCACTCATAAATTGGAAAAATGTTCATCATCTGAATGCTGCTCAAAGAAGTAAATTGTCTGGGTCTTCCAAGTAAAACTCCATTAGACACATTTCAGATTCCTTCTTCTGTATGTCACCAAGCATTATTCAATTTTCATGACTGGAGTTATTAGCTTCTACAGGAGTTAAAGTCTGTCCTGTAAAATTCTTGCTCAGATATTGATATGTGGAGATGCATGTGTTTACATAATGGTTTGATCTCTGGGACTTGTGGAGTGTGAAATCCAAGCTCATTCCTAATGTACAGTGATTTCATTGTGTTATTATTTATTGTAGTTTTGCATGCCTGAAAGCATTTTAGTGGAAATGGAAGATTATAAGTCAACAGTCTTAGGTACCAGATGCTAAGTGGGTTGCAAATCTGTGAGCTGGATTTTATTGTCAAAAGCACTGGAGTTCACATGTGATAAACTTTTAAAGCAGATTGTTTTTTTAATGAATTTATACATGTATAGCAGCAGTGTAAGTGTGTAAGCCTCATAGATGGGTCATCATTGTAAACCAGACTTTGTTATCAACTGACTTATCTGGTTACATAGGGGATTATTATGATGAAAAAACAGCAACACAGTGTTAATTTGCAAAAGTCCCAATGAAAGGAAACAGTACTGGATTCTATTTTCTTCTAATTAAATAATCTACAACATCAGATTTAAACTTGTATAATAAAAATAAGTTTTTAGTGTGTTTAGTGCATTTCTGAATATTACATTAGTTTTATTATTGTTAAAGATAGTAGTACTATTGTTTGGAAGTTTTAAAGGACTTTTTTGTGTTTTTGAGGTATTGGTATAATACAGACTATTTAGATCATAAAACCCTTTGTCTCCTGTAACAAACTATTTGATGTTAAGGACAGTGCTCACAAATAAACACTGTTGACTTAACTCTGGGTTTATGTGTCTTGTATTTTGCAAATTAGTTAGGCTTAGCTATCATATAGCTTTAAAATGAAGACCTTGTCAGTTTTATCAGTGGTAACGTTTTTTTATTTATTTAAAGCCATTTTAATTGGTGATAATCTTAAAATTATGTCTTGAAATCTCAGATGGTTTTGCTCAGTCATCCAGCTATAAGAATTATCGAAGCATGTGGGAGCATGACAAATGCATATTATTGAAGACACAAAAGCATGGTACTTTGGAAAATTGCCATGAAATACATCTTGATAAGCATTCACAGTAAGTGTAGAGTCTTTCACTCTGACAGTTTCTTTAATCATTTGTCAAGATGTCCAGCCCCTTAACTGTTATTGTTTTTTTTTCTGATATATAAAAAACATTTTCATTTGTTAAAAATTTGATTACAAATTAAGATGGATGTTTATACAGATTAACTAAAGTCTCAGAAATTCCTTCATCTAAGACATTAGTATTATAAGAAAAGAGACTTCAAAAATTGCAAATCATTGATATTGCTGCCAAATTTATTTGTTGTAAATAGATTGGAATCAGAAATGTATGTTTTAGGAATAGAAGTCTCTGTGGGGGAAATCTTATAATCACATATTCAAGCTACTCAGAACTATCTGGTTGACTTGGTTACACTGTAGTTTTAGCTGATGCTGCCTGGCAGCCATTAACTAGTGATCTATTGCATGAATACCACTGGGATTTGGTGTTAACTTAATCTGAAAGATAATTGACATTGCTGATTTATATCCTTCTTCCATTTCCCAGCGATTACCTTAGAACCCAATGAATGTGTTTTACAAAATAAAAACACTAAAAAAAACTGGATAAATTTCACTTTCCCTTCCCTGCATGTCAGAGGTTGACACAGCACATTAAATAGGCTGCTGATTTGCATTTAAACATAAAGAAGAACTGTAGGGAAATCTTTAGGGAAAATGAGGATTTGAAACTGGGGATCCTATTTAACACAGGAAGGATTGATTTATTGATTTCAGCACGTGACTCACTAGGCTCTTATAGAATATGGCTCTAGCCATTCAAAATAAGCAGCCTCTAAGTTGTTGAAGGCTAAAGATGAGAGCCAGCCTGTAGTATGCCCCACACACCAGACACAGTCACAGGCCTGCTCCTTCAGTTGTATAATACTGTACCTAGATTTAATTCTTTTTAGCTTTATTCTATCAATATGTTCAAATATGTTAAAATATTTCAAGCAACTATCTAGGTTTCACTCTGAAGTAGTGAATGTAGGATTTACTATATACAGTACATATTAGGTCATGTAAAATATCCCTAAAAATGCAATTTGACAGCATTGCCAAAGCTTGTACTGATTGTGTGTGCATACAGGAAAATGCAGAGGCCAATTCCTTTGCCCACACACTCCAGAACAAGGCTCTACAGCTGAAACAATGTGTATGTCATTTTTTTAAAATTAAACCCATATATCTTGCTCATATAT